CACAAACGCACATACACACTCTGTTGGCTCTGTTTTCTGCTTCTCTGAAGGAGACCCCTGATTAATATAAGGAGGTAATAACTATATAAATTATTTAAAATTCTTCGTAGGAAATGTGTCTATTCTGCCCTATTTATTTATTTTTGCAATTACTTATGTATATCAGTGTAAACTCATGGATATTTATTTTACATTTTGGGTTATCCAATAGTCCTTTATTTTGCTCCTCAAATTCTTCCAGCTTTGGCCCCTGGGAGCTGTTTCACTTGGTTCCTGTGTCCCTTTAACATACACTAATCGTGTGTGGTGTGGTGTGTGGTGTGTGGTGTGTGGTATGTGTGTGTGCTGTGCCTATCACCAGAGACCACCATTTTTCACCGGCATCAAAAGACTGACCCATTTTCATTAACCACCTTCCGGCAGCTGCCGAAGCCTTTGTTGGGTTTGTACAGCGAACTGAAACGCGAACCCACTTGAGCCGGGCCGTGCGTCTGGGCAGTGAGGGGGCTTGGCAGGTGGGGGGCGAGCTCGCCCCCGGTGTCCAGTGAACTCTCACTTCCTTTCTTTCTGGAAAATTTCCAGGACGCTGGTTTCCTTTTTCTCAGTTATACTTTAAACTTCTCCTCAGACACAAAGCCGAGAGTGGGCAATAGAGAAACCCTGAATGCGTGACCCCGGCCGGTGGCTGGGATGCGGGGCCGGGGTGGTGGGAGCCACGCGGGCACCAGGCTCGGCTCTCGCACGTGGCCGAGCCCGCGCTGGCAAGCGAGCCGGAGGGCGAGCCAAGCCGAGTGCACTCAGCCTGCTAAGTCCAGCGAGCTGAACTGTGCTCAGTTCGCTTGCGAAATTTCACTTACGATAAAAATGTTTGCGTCCACTCTTAAAATAGTTTATGCCTCTCCTGCACACAGACCCCCAAGAGTCTCGGGGAAGGGCCCGGCCTCACTTAGTGGTGCCAGTCAATGGTGAGGCTGTGCTTCCTTCTAGATGCCGGGGGGCACTGGGCCTAGCATTACTACCTGTCTTAAATTTATGACGACTGTTGGGCATAAAATAAAATTCATCTATTTCGACGGAACCAAGTGAATGGACAAGACTCATGTCTACATTGTGAGCCAAATATCGCCTTGGTGAAGAGACATCGTGCCCGGCCCTCCATCTCAGTAAGACCCTGAGTGGGTGTGTTCTCTCTCTTTGGGGCCATTTAAGGGGAAACGCGCCTGTCACCCCAGAGCCAGTGACTGGGAGGTGGTAGGGGGTGGTGGCCGAGAGCACGGAGCCCCGAGCGGCCCCATTCCCAGCTCTGCCATCGCCCGGCCCCAAGAGACTGGTCAAGTTCTATGCCTCGGTGTCCGTGAAGTCTGCTTAACAGTGGCACCCACCTCAGGGGGCGTTTCCTCCAAATTAAAAAATGTTTAAATTGCGGTGAAATACACGTAACATAAAAGTAACCGTCTTTGCCATTTGTAGGTGCACCGTTCGGTGGTGTTATCGCCCACATGGTGCGCCCCAACCTCTGGAACTCCCACCATCTTTCAAAACGGAAAATTTGCGTCCATTAAACGACTCCCCCTTCGTTCCCCCAGGCTCCGTCCCCACGAATCTGCTCCTCCCGGACCCTCATGTGAGTGAAATCACACGAAGCTTGTCTTTTTGCGACTGGCTTGTTTCACTCAGTGCGGTGTCCCCAAGGTTCATCCACGTTGGAGCAGGTGTCAGCCTGTCCTTCCCTTTCGAAGGCTGAGTCACATCCCACTGTGCGGACGGCCCACTCTGTCCGTTTGTCTGTCCGTGGACACTGGGTTGTCTCTGCCTTCGGGCTATCGGGAATAATGCCGCCGTGAACACGAGGGTGCAGATACCTCCCTGAGCCCCAGCTTTCAGTCCTGTCACGCATATACCCAGACGTGTAATTGCTAGATCGTATGATAGTCCTATTTTCAATTTTTTGGGGGGAACCGCCATACCATTTTGCACGTTTTCCACTCCGGCCAGCAGCGCGCGAGGGTTTCAGTGGCTCCATGTCCTCGCCAATAGCTGTTATTGGCTAAGTTTTTTTATTTTTGGATATTAGCCATCCCAATGAGTAGAAGGTAGTGTCTGATTGTGGTTTTGGTTTGCATTTCCCTAGCGATTAATGAATTGAGCGTCTTGCGCTTGTTGGAGAAACGTCCGTCTGTGCAAGTCCTTTGCCCATTTTTAAATCAAGTTGTCGTTGTTGTCATCGTCGTCTTGAGGGCTGTTCTGAGAGTTTGACGACAGAGTACGTAGAATCTGCTCAGTACAGCGTCGCGAACA